ATCACATAGAACAAGTGGTCTTGAGTTTCACAGAGGAAGAATAATGGATCAGTCAGTCAGTACAGCCTGTCAGAGTGGGCATGCCTACTCTCATACCAACTCCTACCTAGCGTGAACGATTTGGCAAGATAACAGGGGACCCTTCAGTCTCGAGCCGTCTGTGTTGTCTAGGAAACGGCTGGAGTCTGTAACTTTGCCAGCTGCTTGCCGAGTCTTGGCGTCTGAACAGAGGAATGCAAAAATTCTTTAGGGGATACTAACGCATGATACACAAGGAAAGGTAAAGAAATGAAGGTCCAAAACTAAAAGTAATTGGAGGAGGGACTTAGATTCGGACTTTAAGGAGTTGTGGTACTGATGAACAGAGGTGGAAACTTTAGCCCCGGACAGAAATACAGGGAGAGCTCTTAGTGGTGGCTTATTTACCGGCACGGAATGAGAAAGGATGATGATGATGATGATGATGATGATGATGATGATGATGATGATGATGATGATTTTTTCGTTTCCTTTATGGGCCTGACGGACTTCACGAAGAAATCTTCGAGCGAGAGCGAGGCTCTTTTTCGGCTCCATTGCCAATATGCTTAGCGGCACCTCCACTCGTCCAAATAACTCCATTCGAATTGCCATTGTTCCTAGACATTCAAACATTATGTTTGATATCCTCCTTTTCATGGCCGCATCTTCGGCAACATGGGCTGAGCTCTTCATTTACAAAGTTCTTATACCATCTCAAACTCCAATGATGGTCCGACCGCAGTCTCGCTAGCTCAACCTGGTCCCAGCGACATGTGATAGATTTTTGTTCCCGCTTATAGGAGTACCCAGAATACACATCTTCCAGGTGCTGGTACTTAGTTCTACATGGTGGGTCTCTGATTTCTCTCTTGATTATTGGAACGACTCCTCTGTATGTCGTTGGTCGTCTGTCTCCTTCGATCTCTCTGGCTTCATTAGCAGCTTAGTCTGCTGCCTCATTTCCTTCTATTCCAGCATGGCTTGGAATCCACTGAATTTTTATTGTGGCTCTGGCTTCTCTGAACTTGCGGCGCAAATCTTTCATGTCCGAGCTGTTGCCCAGCAGCCTCTTGCAGGGGGACTGACTGTCGGTCAAGATCAGCACATTGGTCCTACTGTGGCAATTGTCGGCAATCCATTGTGCAGCAGACATCATTGCCTGGCATTCCTCGTCATAAGATGATGTAAGGACTGCACCTTTAGTTTTAATAATTTCTGTTCGTGGTGGTTCATCATTCATTATCACTACTGCTGCTGCTCCACCTTCGCGGTATCCTGCGACTGCCGATCCATCGGTGAAAATTGTCACATTCGCACCAACTTCTTTGGTCACATCCTCAGCTACTTCACGTGCCTTTACAGGATCTTCACCTTTTCCTTTTACTCCTCTCAGTTCTGTCCGAATTTCGATTTCGCCATGGGTCTCCCATGGACAAGCTCTCACCAGATTGATCGGCCATCGCTTCTCTGCTTCAGGGGGGAGGTGGTCTGCTAGATCGGTGCCCATCCGAAACCAACTGTTCCTGCGGTTTTTAGGCTTGACTGCTTGATCAAGGGCTTTCTTTCTATGATGGCTGTCTGGTAATCTGTTAGCCATCTCTGTAGACTTGAGGCATGTTCTTTTTGTATAGGTGGTGTAGTGCCCAGTTCTGGTCTCATAGCACAGCGCTTCTGTTGGTGTTGTTTTCAGCTGACCTGATACAAGTCGGAGGGCTTTGTTTTGCATTCTGTCCAGGGCCTTTGCACTAATCTCACTCAGCCAAGGCTGCCACGCTGGGGCAGCATAATCCAACTTGCTTCACAAACGTCTGATATATTTTCTTGAGCGACTCCTTACCCCAGCCCCATTTTGAGTTGCTGACAGCACCGATAACCTCCATTTTAGAGGTTGCACTTTTGGACACCTCCTCAATGTGCTTATTGAAGGTTAGCTGTCTATCCAGGTAGACGCCCAGCAGGCGTGGAGTGGGGTTGAATGGTATCTTTTTCCCTTCGATCTGTATTATTGGTTGCCACGTTGCCTCCTTCACCAATGTTGAAAAGAAGCACACTTCACTCTTGGTTGCATTCAAGGTAAGCTTCCATTCATTGCTCCATTTCACAACCATATCCACAATCAACTGTGTCGCTTCATTTGCCTTTGCTCTTTTTGCGGGACTGGCCAGTATTGTGCAGTCATCAGCGAACATTGAGTAGATCAGCTTGGCGGAGGTTAGTTGTTGTGAGTCAGGGTTTGGGAGGGATTCTGCCAGGTTGTTTAAGAAGAATATAAACAGCAGCGGTGATAGTACAGCTCCTTGGGGAAGCACTTGCTTGAAATTCTGGCTTTTGCTTGTTTCTCCATTCAGGCAAACACGGGCTTGTCTGTTTCTTAGGAAACCATGAATCCATCTGATTGCACGCAACGGAACTCCCTTGTCAGCCATTGACAGTAATAGTCTTTCACGCCAAACCGTATCATATGCCTTGGAGTAGTCCAGCAGGAATAGGACTGATCGATGGAATGTTGGCTTTTGTTGAAAACCATCCTCAATTCCTTGACAGATTCTGATGATCTGGTCCGTGCAGCTATGACCTTGGCGAAAGCCTGCCTGAATATCTGCAATCCGTGCATCCTTTCTATAACTTTCACGACACATGATGTCAAACTTATGGGTCGAAAGGATGTCATATCACTAGGTGACTTACCAGCTTTCAAGAGAGGAATGATAAGTGCCTTACGCCAGTCTTGTGGGCACGCTGCTTGGTTAAGCGACAGATTACATATGCTGAGCAATTCTTTCAATGCGAGTGGGCCAAGCTCTTTTAGGAAAGATGGTGGTATATCATCAGGTCCTGGAGCACTTCTTCTCTTCATTTGTGTTATGGCACGCTCCAGCTCTTTCATAATGAAGTCTGGGTATGATTTGATGATGATGATGATGATGATGATGATGATGATGATGATGATGATGATGATGATAACATAGTAAAAAGTAAAGCTGTTCCCGCATCCGATCTGGACATTGGGGGATTGTCTTGTTAGTGAGACACCTTCCTGGGCCTTCGGCATATTGTGGTAGGGTGGCCAGTTCCTTTCCACGTTGCCTTTACTTCCCCAACTCAAAGTCAGGTATCAATTACTGCTGGGTGGGCAGGAGGGAGCGAAAAATAATTCGTGTCCGAACCGAGGTTTGAACCCTAACTTTCCGCTTCGGAGACGAACGCTGACAACATAGTACCAATATGATTGTCCTTGGTACTAGACTGCTGATTGCAGCAAACAAAAGTGGTGTCTGGTGGGTGGTCGATTGCTCTGAAGAAGGAAAGAAAGGTAAATCCTTCGTGAGCGATAGTTTCACTGTTTTCACACTCTTATGTCACTCTTTTGTAGAATTTGTAGCTTCATGATTTTAATGGTAAACTGACCATAACGTTTCTATTTGTTTTGATGTTGCTGCTGTGGTTGCTTTTGTTTGTGCGTTTATATCATTATTGTTTATAATTATGTGATGGTGATGTCACGAACACATAAGCACATAACACACACTGGTAGGCGCATAACGTGCAAAACACGTATGATACATTGTATAAACACAAAAATAAAGTAACACCCACAAACATCTTAGAGAGGGTCAAATTGATTTACTCTTTTGCTAAAAGATAAAATCCCTCAATCTTAACAGATTGGGAGGAACACGTGTGTATGTCCTTAGCAGATAACGTGAATATTACAAATTCATTATGTAAGTGACATGGAAAGATATGTAGATATAATCGAGAAATGCATCCTTGCCCTTCCGCTAGATTGGAGCAAGCACTCAGATTATTCAATATAAAAGCAAATCAAGAGAAGCTGAGTACTGGGGTTATAATTTCGCAGTATTTTGTGGGTGGTTTGCTCCTTCTTTTCTATCAAACATCTATTTCCTTATCTCTCCTCCTTTAAAGTGTGTTAATAGCTCTCTTGCAATACCTCAAAATTTCGGCACTTATTTGACTTAATTGTGTTGAAAGTGTTGTAAAATGCTTACTAAAACAAAAATTCTCTGCATTTTTATTACTTGATAAAAGGGATTTACATTACTGGCCATTATGTATAGGGAAATTTTGTACAAGGCTCTCTTTCTTAGTAATAGTATACTATTATTGTAGTTAATGTGAAATTGCTGGAACAGTTTTGGTTTCACATATGTTCATGTATGTGTGTGTCTGTGTGTGTTTGTGTTTGTGTGTGTGTGTGTGTGTGTGTGTGTGTGTGTGTGTGTGTGAGA